TACTACACTGTGAAGGAGTAAATGTTATTATACAACATATTAATTTGGGGCACAAATTTTGATTTGAATGGTTTTTCCTTTCATTGGGGCATTCACTGGTGGACAGAGGGTGGGAGGAGTGGAACTTACCTTCCTTCTGGTACACCTAGTTACCTGTGACTAAGGGGTGGTACAAGGGGGGGGGGGGAATGCCTTCATACACCCTACTAATTCCAAACCTCTTCCTTTAGGATAACTATCTTTTTTTTTTCCTGTTTGATGCTGAAGTGAATAAGAGTCGATCAAGTGAGTTTTTGTTGCCGCTTGTTCTACTTACTCATGGGTGAGCACTGCTCTGCTTACTCATGGGTGAGCACTGCTCTGCTTACTCATGGGTGAGCACTGCTCTGCTTACTCATGGGTGAGCACTGCTCTGCTTACTCATGGGGTGAGCACTGCTCTGCTTACTCATGGGGTGAGCACTGCTCTGCTTACTCATGGGGTGAGCACTGCTCTACTTACTCATGGGGTGAGCACTGCTCTACTTACTCATGGGGTGAGCACTGTTCTACTTACTCATGGGTGAGCACTGCTCTGCTTACTCATGGGTGAGCACTGCTCTGCTTACTCATGGGTGAGCACTGCTCTGCTTACTCATGGGGTGAGCACTGCTCTGCTTACTCATGGGGTGAGCACTGCTCTGCTTACTCATGGGTGAGCACTGCTCTGCTTACTCATGGGTGAGCACTGCTCTGCTTACTCATGGGTGAGCACTGCTCTGCTTACTCATGGGTGAGCACTGCTCTACTTACTCATGGGTGAGCACTGCTCTACTTACTCATGGGTGAGCACTGCTCTACTTACTCATGGGTGAGCACTGCTCTACTTACTCATGGGTGAGCACTGCTCTGCTTACTCATGGGTGAGCACTGCTCTGCTTACTCATGGGTGAGCACTGCTCTACTTACTCATGGGTGAACAAGAGCAGCATTTCCTCCCCTTCAGGCTACAGGAAATCATGATTAATTGTCCATAATATGTAATAATTATTGGTTTATTGTAAACGTATCAGTGATTTCTGCGTCTCATGTTCTACACATTATTTAGAACGGTCGTCTCGGGTATGTTATAGACACTTAATGAGTTGTGTATCAAGTTGCAACATATTGCAAAACATGAACAATATTGGTCAGTGTTGTGTATCTGGTCGTGTGAAGAATTAACGTGTGTCTCCCAGTTATTAATCAGATTCAATACATTACTGATTTATTGTTGCACTGTCCTTATCGTGATTTGTGTTGATCACAGTTGACAATTATGATTTGCAATTGAAATGACATGATACAAGAGCCCTGCAATCAGTAGTTAGCGCTCAAATGCCAGCAGTACACTCATTTATGCGCCTTTGATTTGAGGGCTCCGGCACATCATCCCAAATCCTTATCCTGACATCTTCCCAGTGCTGTATAGTCGTAATGGCTTGGCGGTTTCTCCTTTAAAATTATTTTCTATTTCCGGCACATCATGTGACAGAGGCACAGTAACTCTCCACGCGGGGGTGTACTACACGCCCAGGAAGGGGCAGTCACAAACCAGCAACACGTACATGACACGTCCCACAGTACTTAACTTTGTATCTATACTATGTAACTGTAGGTGTCCGAGTACTCTTAGGAGAAGTGCGACTTGTGGCGGAGGAGTGTGAGCTAACAGCCATTGTCGTGGCGTTAAGATTCTTTGAACGGAACACTAATGGTACAGTGATCTACACTGATTCAAAAGCAGCGCCTCAAAGACTAAGTAAAAATCGGGCAGAAAATCTTCCGATAGTCGCTGAGATTAAGAGAGCTGTGAGGGTACTAATCAACCAGGGAAGAGTCGTGAAGTGTCTGTGGATCCCCTCCCATGTTGGGATATGTGGGAATGAACGAGCAGATGTGCTGGCTGCTGAAGGCGCTGAAGGAGACCATATTGAATACTTCATACCCAAGACTCTTTTACAAATTAGAGGCATTGTCAGGCAACATCACCGTGACAAGATAACTGAGGAAAGGAGGATAGAAGCACAAACCAGTGAATCTGTACGATGGTACAACATGGTTGCAGCTGGCAATCCCAATCATTATGGACGAAGAGTAGGTGGCCGCGGGAGAGAATCAGTAATAGCGAGAATCCGTCTTGGATACAAATATCCATGGTGATACGGAATGGAAACAACAGTTGATCAGCGGAGTTGCAGAATCTGTGGTGAGAGTGACGGACACCGCCTTGACCACTATCTACGTGAATGTGAACACCTGAGAGACATCAGAAGTATGTGTAGAATAATAAACCCCACATTGTTTGAGTTAGGAAAACACTATTTGTCAAATATTGATACTGTTCTTAAAAGATTCCCCCATTTTGCACCCGCAAGATAACGTAAGATTTTAAGGGTTTACAGGTGTTAATCTTCTTGTTTGATAAGCTGTTCACTTGAGACAGTTAAGCGAGTCCCAGCTTTGTCTGGGTACAAGTGACAGGATGAACAACCCAGCTGGTTTTCTTCCTATTGGGGAGTGTTGTACCTGCTGCTATGGCGGTGTGTCCACTCACAGGATGAGTGGCGCTGCCCAATAAACTCGCCCCTCGGGGCAAAACTTAAAATTTTGAGTCAGTGTTGGAGTATTAGCAGTCCTAGTACCACTTTCCGCTATTCATGCCCGTACCACCTCTTGTGGTGGCTTAATCTTCATCAATCAGTCAATCAGTAGTCCAAGCACACCATGTCATATTTGGTATAACTTTGTATTTTAAGTTTTGTTTGTTTTATTATAATAATTAAGACACTGTAACGAGCCGAGTTACAGTGTATCGTATCAATGAATCTTCTTAACTCTTGCGAATTAAACAGGTTTAAAATTTCTTGACAACAACATTAAAATATATATCTTTGGCCAGTAACTTCTTCCTCACGACGCGACTGGCTCACGTCTGTGTGGCAAAGTTCAATGTAGAACTGTTTGATGATAACACTGAAGAAAAGATTATAATCACGACCATACAATAAGTTGTAAACAAGGGGGCTGAATGGGCGGGTGTGGCGGCCGCTCTCCACGAGTCCAAGATCTATCCAGCAGGTATTTTGTTGATGTTGGCTGAAGGGAGATTTCTAGTTCAGCAACACTTGGGTGTTGCGGAACCACTGGGACGCCCCCGGGCCGTGCCGGGCAGGTGCCCCCACTCCTAGGAGGACCTAGCTGGGTGCTAGGTCCTCCCAGGTCCTAGGCTAGGACTGAGAATAGCGAGACATCACGAGCCGAGACCCGTCTCCTCCTCAGATCATCAACCACTGGATGTGACACAAGGCAACGGAGCCAGACTGCGTCAACACCTGGGAACTGGTGCCACACAAGTGCCAGAATCGGGCACCACAACAGCAGGTGTGTCGTGCCACACCCGGGCTGTGGCACGACACACCTGAGCCAGGATTTGTCATCACAACTATCACGCACAAAAGACTCGAAAACTTGTTTTTTTCTTTTCACTGTAAAGTGCTGTATAACAACTCTTTTGTTTAACATTGTTTTATGGTATACATGAAAGCAACTCACACACACTCAAACACACACTCAAACACACACTCAAACACACACTCAAACACACACTCACACACATACACACACACTCAAACACACACTCACACACATACACACACACACTCAAACACACACTCACACACATACACACACACACTCAAACACACACTCACACACATACACACACACACTCAAACACACACTCACACACATACACACACACACTCAAACACACACTCACACACATACACACACACACTCAAACACACACTCACACATATACACACACATTTCAAGATACAGATTTTATTTTATTTTCTGGTAACACTCTTTTATTAGTACATACCAAAATATGCACACCTAAATCATCTGGTAACACTGACTCAAGCGTAAGAATCATCTGGTAACACTGACTCAAGCGTAAGAATCATCTGGTAACACTGACTCAAGCGTAAGAATCATCTGGTAACACTGACTCAAGCGTAAGAATCATCTGGTAACACTGACTCAAGCGTAAGAATCATCTGGTAACACTGACTCAAGCGTAAGAATCATCTGGTAACACTGAATAAAACACAGGGGATTCCTCACTTGTGGTGTCTGGCAATGATGAATCACACTACTAAATTACAAGGTAGATTTTCTAGAACAAATTTAATAAAGGTAATATTATGCATTATCTGACGGTAGTAAATATCTAGAGCTGTCCAGGTGTGTCGCAACTCAGGTGTTGGCAACAGTGGATTCCAGTTACATATATATATATATATATTAGGGGGTTATGAGGTGCGCCTCATTTGGCAACACTCGTAAAGCATCCAGTTTTAACACGATAAATAACTCTCTCTCTCTCTCTCTCTCTCTCTCTCTCTCTCTCTCTCTCTCTCTCTCTCTCTCTCTCTCTCTCTCTCTCTCTCTCTCTCTCTCTCTCTCTCTCTCTCTCTCTCTCTCTCTCTCTCCACCATGAGAGGAAGGGGAGACACCAAGGAAATACACAAATAACAAAGGAAAGGAAAGTGAAACGTGCGATAACAGGAGGGGAGAGAGTGAGAAACATTGCGTCATGGGAGAGAGAGTGAGAAACATTGCGTCATGGGAGAGAGTGAGAAACCAACCCGTACCTTCGAGTCACCACAACGGCCACAAAATAGCGTACCAAAACACAGGCACCAAACCTAATAGAACGACCCGCACGTAGAAAACGGGAATGTTTGTGAGCAACTATGATATATCGCACGTTGCTCGCTCGGGGAAATGGAACGTCAAAATGCGCCGTTCTATCAGGAGGGCGGGTTGATTGGTTACCACAAGGACCAGCGGCCCGCGTACCACTGACAACCACAGACTGTGGTTAGCGGCTCCTTAATGTTCCACTGGGCCTGGGGGAAGGTCAGTGTTGACCAGGTCACCACAGGACACAGACCGTCACAATATGTTATTGTTATGCAGGAGACTACAGTGAGCGGTGACCCGCGCCTGGAGGCCCTCACCATCATCATCACCATCACCACAGTGAAGAACACCCGCCCGGAGCTTGGTCCAATGAGCGGCGGGGGTGTTGTGCCTGATGAGCAGGTATGGGCATGCATTACCAGAAAATAGGTACCTGGGAGTTAGACAGCTGCTACGGGCTGCTTCATGAGGGGGTGGGGGGTGAAACAAAAAGGAGGCCTGGTTGAAGACCGGGCCGCGGGGACGCTAAGCCCCGAAATCATCTCAAGATAACCTGAAGATAACCAAGATGGGTACTGTGGTTGGGTGTGTGTGTGGAGGAGTGTGCACTTCACTCTGCTTCCATTTCACTTTATATTTCACTAATACTCCAAACAATCCACGACAGTGAATTGTTTAGTTTTAAACAATTGCGTTTAAAATTGTGTGTGTGAAAGCTGGTGCCCATATCCCCCCAGCTCTATTGCTCTACCACACTGCTCTTTTCTCACTTGTTCAATCGTTCTCTCTCTCTCTCTCTCTCTCTCTCTCTCTCTCTCTCTCTCTCTCTCTCTCTCTCTCTCTCTCTCTCTCTCTCTCTCTCTCTCTCTCTCTCTCTCTCTCTCACGTGAGAGATGAACGCCGTCTTGACCACTACCTGAGAGACTGAAACACCGCCCATTTAAGAGACCTTAAGACACAACGGTAATGTTTAATTAAACGAGGGGTAATCACCTCGTTTGACAATCTGTTCACTTGAGGCAGTTAAGAGGCCGGGTTAACAAGCTAGTTGGGAGGGGAAGGAGGGAAGGGGGGGGTGTCCACTCACAGGATGAGTGACGCTGCCCAATACTGTCACTATGGCGGTGTGTCCACTCACAGGATGAGTGACGCTGCCCAATACTGTCACTATGGTGGTGTGTCCACTCACAGGATGAGTGACGCTGCCCAATACTGTCACTATGGTGGTGTGTTCACTCACAGGATGAGTGACGCTGCCCAATACTGTCACTATGGCGGTGTGTCCACTCACAGGATGAGTGACGCTGCCCAATACTGTCACTATGGCGGTGTGTCCACTCACAGGATGAGTGGCGCTGCCCAATACTGTCACTATGGCGGTGTGTCCACCCACAGGATGAGTGACGCTGCCCAATACTGTCACTATGGCGGTGTGTCCACTCACAGGATGAGTGACGCTGCCCAATACTGTCACTATGGCGGTGTGTCCACTCACAGGATGAGTGACGCTGCCCAATACTGTCACTATGGTGGTGTGTCCACTCACAGGATGAGTGACGCTGCCCAATACTGTCACTATGGTGGTGTGTTCACTCACAGGATGAGTGACGCTGCCCAATACTGTCACTATGACGGTGTGTTCACTCACGGGATGAGTGACGCTGCCCAATACTGTCACTATGACGGTGTGTTCACTCACGGGATGAGTGACGCTGCCCAATACACTCGCCACATACATCCACCTACACCACCGTCACCCCCCACCCCCCGTCACCCCCCCCCCACCCCGTCACCCCCCCCCCGTCACCCACCCCCACCCCGTCACCCCCCCCACCCCGTCACCCCCCCCCCCTGTCACCCAGCCTACCGTCACCCAGCCCACCCCCCCACCCCCCGTCACCCAGCCCACCGTCACCCCCCCCTACACCCCGTCACCCAGCCCATCGTCACCCCCCCCCACCCCCCGTCACCCAGCCCACCGTCACCCCCCCCCCCCCCGTCACCCAGCTGGGGCACCTGGCCGCTCCCTGTAATTTGTTGCTCAAAAATAGATTATAATCCCCCAGCTTATTTCTACGGCGGTTTAGAGGGGGTGAGGAGGGGTTGATGGGGGGATGGGGCTGGGGAAAGAAAGGGGATTGAAGGGGATTGTGGAGGAGGGAGGGGGATGGTAGGGAAGAGGGGGGGACCCTTCCCTCCAGAACAATAGGAGCGGAGTACACTATTGCTATTTTGGGGGCACAAGCCTCCCTTCCTGCCTCTATGTTATCTCCTGGCTCCACCACCACCACCACCACCACCCACTGTTGGCTGTGGTGGCCCACTACCACCACCACCACTACCACCCACTGTTGGCTGTGGTAGTGGGCCACCACCACCACTACCCACTGTTGTCTGTGGTAGCCCACTACTACCACCACCACCACCACCACCCACTGTTAGCTGTGGTGGCCCACTACCACCACCACAACCACCACCCACTGTTGGCTGTGGTGGCCCACTACCACCACCACCACCACCCACTGTTGGCTGTGGTAGTGGGCCACCACCACCACTACCCACTGTTGTCTGTGGTAGCCCACTACTACCACCACCACCACCACCACCCACTGTTAGCTGTGATGGTCCACTACCACCACCATCACTACCCTACATTAGACCTTTCCCCGAACAGCCCATGTTCGTCCCATACCCCAAACCATTACCCCTGCAAATTTCGCTGAGACAAGTTCGAAGAGCTCGGCCTCCAACTATAGACAGACAGACAGACATTGTCATAGAAATAAATTCAAAACACATATCAATTACAGTGATTACTTAGTAAATATAGAATTTGTATATTTAAATAAAAAGCCGCAAATATCGTCCATAAACTATTATGAGTTAAATTACCAGATATGAGGATGGATAATATTTGTTATTGAAACTATTTGGTGTGTTTGGCCAAGTATATCCAACCCTGCCACCAGGAGGCCTGGGGCCAGATTCACGAAAGCACTTACGCAAGCACTTACGAACGTGTACATCTTTCCTCAATCTTTGACGGCTTTCGTTACATTTATTAAACAGTTTACAAGCATGAAAACTTCCAAATCAACTGTTGGTATTGTTATAAACAGCCTCCTGGTGCTTCAGAGCTCATTAACTGTTTAATAATTGGAAACAAAGCCGCCAAAGATTGAGAAAATCTGGACAGATTCGTAAGTGCTTGCGTAAGTGCTTTTGTGAATCTGACCCCTGGGTTGGTGGGTGACAGAGTCCATCAGGAGACCAGGGTTGGTGGGTGACAGAGTCCATCAGGAGACCAGGGTTGGTGGGTGACAGAGCCCACCAGGAGACCTGGGTTGGTGGGTGACAGAACCCACTAGGAGACCTGGGTTGGTGGGTGACAGAACCCACCAGGAGACCTGGGTTGGTGGGTGACAGCACCCACCAGGAGATCAGGGTTGGTGGGTGACAGTACCCACCAGGAGACCTGGGTTGGTGGGTGACAGCACCCACCAGGAGACCTGGGTTGGTGGGTGACAGTACCCACCAGGAGACCTGGGTTGGTGGGTGACAGCACCCACCAGGAGACCTGGGTTGGTGGGTGACAGCACCCACCAGGAGACCAGAGTTGGTGGGTGACAGTACCCACCAGGAGACCTGGGTTGGTGGGTGACAGCACCCACCAGGAGACCTGGGTTGGTGGGTGACAGTACCCACCAGGAGACCTGGTTGGTGGGTGACAGCACCCACCAGGAGACCTGGGTTGGTGGGTGACAGCACCCACCAGGAGACCTGGGTTGGTGGGTGACAGCACCCACCAGGAGACCTGGGATGGTGGGTGACAGCACCCACCAGGAGACCTGGGTTGGTGGGTGACAGAGCCCACCAGGAGACCTGGGTTGGTGGGTGACAGAGCCCACCAGGAGACCTGGGTTGGTGGGTGACAGAGCCCACCAGGAGACCTGGGTTGGTGGGTGACAGTACCCACCAGGAGACCTGGGTTGGTGGGTGACAGTACCCACCAGGAGGCCTGGGTTGGTGGGTGACAGAACCCACCAGGAGACCTGGGTTGGTGGGTGACAGAACCCACCAGGAGACCTGGGTTGGTGGGTGACAGTACCCACCAGGAGACCTGGGTTGGTGGGTGACAGTACCCACCAGGAGACCTGGGTTGGTGGGTGACAGTACCCACCAGGAGACCTGGGTTGGTGGGTGACAGTACCCACCAGGAGACCTGGGTTGGTGGGTGACAGTACCCACCAGGAGACCTGGGTTGGTGGGTGACAGTACCCACCAGGAGACCTGGGTTGGTGGGTGACAGAACCCACCAGGAGACCTGGGTTGGTGGGTGACAGAACCCACCAGGAGACCTGAGTTGGTGGGTGACAGAACCCACCAGGAGACCTGAGTTGGTGGGTGACAGAACCCACCAGGAGACCTGAGTTGGTGGGTGACAGTGCCCACCAGGAGACCTGGGTTGGTGGGTGACAGCACCCACCAGGAGACCAGGGTTGGTGGGTGACAGTACCCACCAGGAGACCTGGGTTGGTGGGTGACAGCACCCACCAGGAGACCTGGGTTGGTGGGTGACAGAACCCACCAGGAGACCTGAGTTGGTGGGTGACAGTGCCCACCAGGAGACCTGAGTTGGTGGGTGACAGTGCCCACCAGGAGACCAGGCATCATGGGTGACAGTACCCACCACACACGACAATTCTTATAATGGTCCCTTAAATTTTATCGTTATTGAAACTGGTGTTTGAGGAGCGGCAGCGCCCCGAGGTGTCCTGGTTAACGACCCGCCTCGCACGCCGGAACGACCCGGGTCTCCTTGCAGGGTATAAACGGCCTATACTTCACTAAGCCAAGATGGCAACAACGCTGCGGCCTCAGCACCCACACAGCGCCCCGGCTGCCACAGACTAGACGCCCGCCCAGGCTGCCACAGACTAGACGCCCGCCCGGCGGTCACAGACTAGACGCCCGCCCGGCTGCCACAGACTAGACGCCCGCCCGGCGGTCACAGACTAGACGCCCGCCCGGCTGCCACAGACTAGACGCCCGCCCGGCTGCCACAGACTAGACGCCCGCCCCGCGGTCACAGACTAGACGCCCGCCCGGCTGCCACAGACTAGACGCCCGCCCGGCTGCCACAGACTAGACGCCCGCCCGGCTGCCACAGACTAGACGCCCGCCCGGCTGCCACAGACTAGACGCCCGCCCCGCGGTCACAGACTAGACGCCCGCCCCGCGGTCACAGACTAGACGCCCGCCCCGCGGTCACAGACTAGACGCCCGCCCGGCTGCCACAGACTAGACGCCCGCCCGGCTGCCACAGACTAGACGCCCGCCCGGCTGCCACAGACTAGACGCCCGCCCAGGCTGCCACAGACTAGACGCCCGCCCCGCGGTCA